TTCATAGTTTATGAAAGAAACTTTGTTAAACACCATAGTTTCCGTTTTAATATGTGTTCTGAGGTCTGTTGAGCGCTTTGTGAATTAGGTTGAATTGGATTTTCCGCTCCAGATCCTAAAGCATCCGCATAGGTGAAGCCGTTGGTGGTGTTTAGAGGACCGAATGAGGACCTTTAACAAATAAGACGTCTGGCGTAGTTTTTGATCCAATGTACACATTCTGTAGATTTGGATTGCGCTTTGGGGTCGCTTGTCGCATGCCACTCGTCAACTCCTTGAACACCAAACATCCTCTTTGTTTTGCCATATGGTTGCTTCCGCAGTTTCCACATTTCTTTACGGTGCTATCTTTGTTTGAAGAGCAGTGAGCGGAGTTGTGAGCGGAGTGTTGAGCGTCCCCGCAAACTACACAGACAGCCCGAAGTGTGATGTATGACCTTGTGTGTCCATACTATTCGCAATTAGTGCATTGCACTAGACCGTTGCGTTTATGTGGCTCTTCTACAGTGATTCTCCGATGCTAAAGATATTGTTGCTTTTGCCTTTGATTAGAATGTTAGTAACATTATTGGCGGCGAAGGCCTTTCCTTTAAGGACGGTTTTGGTTTCCGCGGCGGTTTGATTCCCTTTACTACCAATTGTGATCCCTTGCTGCTTTTCAGCTGTCGTGTCTTTGTTTGCGCCTTTGATTCTTGGATGTTCCTTTTGACGATCAGGACAACATGAAAGTTGTTACCGTTACCGATCAATGCTACAATTTGGTTGTCCAGGGCGTTCGAGCTTTTCTCCCCGGTATATGGTAGATTGGATGGAGCTTTTCTTTTTTGCGGTGTCTTTCGCAGATTGGTTTTCCTCAACCTCCGCCAGTATGACAAATTTTATGCTATTGTATCTGCCTGGTTCTTCGTCTATCTTCTTTTTATTATCCGCTGTTTATTACCTGCAGGCAATCAAGTTTTTATTTTGAACAACAAAAATTGAATGTAGCGATTCATTCCAGTATATGTGGCCGGGACCACTTTGGCACTTTCCGAAGATGCTATTTTGGTACTCGCTGCAGTAGTTGACATCGCGGTATTTTGAATTGCAGTGGATGTCGCTGCGGTTGCAGAAATTGTGCACTGCTTTATGTCGGTGCCATATTTGTATCCGCCATTCCGCAGGGGTTTTACATTGGTAACTCCATGATGCAGAAGTTGGAGTGAGCAGAGCGGGTTATCAAGACCGTGCCCTTTTGCTTTCACCGGTCGGTAGGGCGGAGTTGGTCTTAATCGCCGATTTTTCCATTTCGGTATCGCGGGTTGAAAAGTAAGAAGAAGCTCAGAAAAACAAAGAAATTGGGTTCGGTCTTTTGATCGTTGCTCATTGAGCTCATTTGCGTGGCACTTTTTTTTTGTAGTTTGTGTTTTTTGATTTGGTTAACTGCGATTTTTTTGCAGTTTTCCCGAAGCTCGCGCAAAGCACGTCTTCTTAGTTCGATAGTTAATCAATTAATCGCGTAAAAAAAATTTAAATTAAATTTTTTTGATAATGATACGAAAACCAATAGTACAAGGCTTTCATATGTTTATTTTTGATTGATTAGTTATTTTATTTAAAACGAAAAGAAATCAACAGATACGAAATTGGTCAGATACGAAAATTATATACCCTTGCAGTAGGATACTGATACCGATGAAATATCTGCTTTGTAGACCGGTCCGTATAAGAATTCATTGAAAAACGAATTTCTTAAAAAAAAATATTAAAAAGAGAGTCAAAAGCTTCTATCTAACAAGAAAAATCTGTCTGCGCCTACCTTTTTTTGCATTCGGGCGATTATTATTAAGCTTGTGTCTCTTCAGGCTACATCACTACGCTTTCCGGTGGCCGACCGTCTACTGGAACAACTTGCCGTTTCAGACCGGGCCGTCGATGGACCGTTCTTCATCATAGCCTTGTACATTCGTTCTAACAGCGTATTTGGCATCCATCATGCTTTCCCGTGTGGTCTCGGGACCCGGAGTCACTCTGCATGCTATCTATCAATGCTCAGCAAAATCTTGACACTGTACTTTTAGATGATACTTTTAGACTGGAACTCTTCCAAGTAAATATATATAAAGATATATTTACATATTTAGTTATGTATCAAGAAATAAAAATATGCAGCGTATGCGATCCCACGCTGAATCAATGTGAACGTGACATATTCAGTTATGTACCAAGAACTAAGAATATGCAACGTATGCATTCCACACTTAATCAATGTAAATAATCGACATCTAGAGCGGGCGACTTCGCTTCCATATTTTTGTAAACAAAGGGCAGCACAAGTAAGATTTTTCCAACAAGAAATTAGTATTAAGTTGATATCAATCGAATAAAGACTTAAAACTAAATCCTCGTTCACAATTTCTATTTAGCGTTGTTCTTATTCAACTGACGGGACATTAGTTCGACTCATTTAAATAGTAAACAATTTTACTATATTATATATATATTATATATATAGTTATATACTTGAATTTATTAATTATAATATTTTTATACCCTTGCAGAGGGTATTATAATTTTGTCCAAAAGTGTGCAACGCAGTGAAGGAGACATCTCCGACCCTATAAAGTATATATATTCTTGATCAGGATCACCTCCTGAGTTGATATGAGCATGTCCGTCTGTCCGTCTGTCCGTCTGTCCGTCTGTCTGTCCGTCTGTCTGTCCGTCTGTCTGTCTGTTTCTACGCGAACTAGTCTCTCAGTTTTGAAGCTATCGTCTTGAAACTTTGCACACACCCTTCTTTCCTTTGCACGCAGTATATAAGTCGGAACGGCCCGGATCGGCCGACTATATCCTATAGCTGCCATATAACGGATTGATCGGAAATGGTATAACTTTGGTGTTTTTAGAGTTAGAGAGTTCAAATTTTACAGGAAAGCTATTTTTGGCAAAACATTACGACATGCCAAATTTCATAAGGATCGGCCGACTATATCTTATAGCTGCCATATAACTGAACGATCGAAAATGACCCAACTTTCGTGTTTTTGAAGATAGAAAGCTGAAACTTAATACAGATTATATTTTTGGCCAGTTGATCCATCCTACCGAATTTCAATAGGATCGGCCGACTATATCCTATAGCTGCCATATAACTGAACGATCGGAAATGACCCAACTTTCGTGTTTTTGAAGATAGAAGTTTGGGACATTTTTTTTAGATTTTTTATTTTAGTTAATTGGTTTTATTATGATGTAATCATAAGGATCGGCCAACTATATCCGATGTTTGCGATATATATCCGGTTTTAGCTGCAAGGGTATATCAACTTCGGCTCCGCCCGAAGTTAGCTTTCCTTTCTTGTTTTAAAATAACTTTTTTATGCAATGTACCATTAAGTCCATTTGAATTTTATAGTTTCTTGCCTTCCCATCTCATAGTATAATCTGAATGAATTTAACTTATTAACGCGTCTATTTCAGCTTCCTGCTTGGCTTTCCAATTCAAAGGATTTGGCCGCTAGTAGCTTTTCGCATACTTTTGGTTTTTGTCCTCTCCTTGACCAGGAAAATTATAAACATGCGCACAAAAGAATCTTTGGTTAAAAAAAAAAATAATAATGTTATTTTCGTTGCTAAAAATATTGTTCATGAATCAATTTTTATACCGTTGCATAAGGTGTCCAAAAGTGTGCAACGCAGTGAAGGAGACATCTTCGAACCTATAAAGTATATATATTCTTGATCAGGATCACCTCCTGAGTTGATATAAGAATGTCCGACTGTCCGTCTGTCTGTTTCTACGCAAACAAGTCTCTCAGTTTTAAAGATATCGACTTAAAACTTTGCACACACCCTTCATTCTTTTGCACGCAGTATATAAGTTGGAACGGCCGGGATCGGTTGACTATATCCTATAGCTGCCATATAACTGATTGATACAAAATGGTATAACTCTGGTGTTTTTAGAGTTAGTTCGAATTTTGTACGAATGCTATTTTTGACAAAATAATACGACATGCCGAATTTCATAAGGATCGGCCGACTATATCCTATAGCTGCCATATAACTGAACGATCGGAAATGAGAATAGAGAATAGAAAGTTGGAACTTCGAACAGTTTTTTTTAAGATTTTGTGTTGTAATAAATTGGTTATATTATGATATTCTCATAAGGATCGGTCAACTATATCCGATTTTAGCGATATCCGGTTTTAGCTGGAAAGTTCGGCTCTGCCCGAAGTTAGCTTTCCTTTCTTGTTTTTAAAATGTTTTTGTGCGGAGCTCCGCAGATGGGCGGTGAACCACATGGGCTGAGTCCATTTTGTGCGATCCTTCTTAAAGCTCCTATTTTATATCTCATATGAAACATCGGCATGGCCCTATTCCGTTTTTCCCTATTCCGGATTTTCACCATAGTTATTTAAGCTAGGGTATTATTATGTTATTATAAATGACTTTCTTAACATATTCGTTATGTATGCAAATGTTAAGTCTGTCAGATACGAGAGCATTGAAAGTCCTTGAATCTGTACAATACTAAATCTGAACTGGGAAGGGAAGGTGATCTTTGCCTCTCTGTTGGTCTTAGTAAATCTAAATCTGAACTGGGAAGGGAAGGTGATCTTTGTCTCTCTGTTGATCTTAGTATACTTTTGTTTAATAATTTACGTACATTAAAAATCCTTCCTTGTTAATGCCAAGCATTAAGCACATTGGTATCGTTGTCTAAATTAACCATATTGATGGTTATATTGACCATTGAAGGCAATTTCGATAGCTATACTTGGATTCCAGCATATACTAGCACGCTTAATATTATAAACTAGATGAACTAGATTATAAAGTCATAAACAAATAAACTTATTTGATAAACTAGAAATTTTACTTGTAAAATTCGCAAAATAATCCCTTTTTTCATTCCATACGCTTCATTAAATAAACATATGTGTTAAACTTATGTCTAAACTATGTCTTCAACATTTTATTTAATTCATTTTACTTTTTTTTTGATTCATCAGAAACTAACTACATGGAGGATACTTTGTACAAGGAAGCTTTAGATGCTGTTAAAACTACTCCGGAAGAAAACCAAGCCGAAAAAAGGGGCAAAATGGTAACAAATTATGATGAAATAGAATCACTATTAGAATCAAGATTAACTTCAAAAATTAGCCCAATTAACAAACTCGACCCTCAAGAGGCAAACAAAATAGGTTCTAATACAAAGCTGGATAGTTATGATGGTAATTTTCTTATAATAAATGGAAATAATAAACTTCGAAAAACAAAAAAAGAAGAGATAAATTTAATTGAATCGGAATTTACAAACGAACTAAAAATTATTAACTCCACTGTTGTTTATGGTGGAATTGAGGTTGAATCTGAAGTTCCTACACATACACCAAGTAAAATTCCAGTGCGCCAATCAAAGTGCACATCATGGGCAGGTGCAGATACAACACCTAAGCAAACCACATTTGAATCACCTTACTCCTATAATGCAATGGAAACAACAAGTACAGAAACGGAATTATTTCCTCGAAATAATAAATACTCTATTGGATTTGAAAACACTTCTAATATTAAGGATTTGACACCAGGTAATTAATAAGAAGACTTACTACAATAAAAAATAAGAACAAGCAAAAGTTTTAAACCAAAAATGCATTACAAACAAAGCTATACAAATTCAGACATTGTTTTTCACTTTTCAATTAAAAAGTAAATTTTGTAAGGGTTTTTGAACATTTTAAGAAATTGCGTATATATGATATTTTTTTTAATAAAAAAAAATGATAATATATAAGATATCATAAAAAAATATTGACATATTTAAAATTTTCTGTGTTAAATAAAACAAAAAAGGAAAGATAAATTTGGGCGGAGCCAAAGTTGATATATCCTTGCAGTTAAAGCCGGATTTGTATCTAAAAAATCCGATATAGTTGGTCGATCCTACATATATCATGGCCGAGATTTTCAGAATAAAACTAATTTATTAGAATAAAAAATTTAAAAAAAAATAAAAAGAAGCCAAGCTTCTATTTTCCAAAACACAGTATAGGATATAGACGACCGACCCCGGCAAAGGAAAGGGTGTGTGTGCGCACATCGACAGCTTAAAAACTGAGACACTATTTTGCGTAATAACAGATAGACATACGCACATGCTCATATCAAATCAGAAGGTAATCCTGATCAAGGATATGTATACTTCTGTAATTGGACGATCGCTATCTGCCTATCGTTGCTCGAGGCGGAGAGTTATGTGACTTAGGGAATCCTTTTATAATGTCTACAAAGCCCCCTTTTGCTTTTGCCACTGGGGTGTTAAACATGGTAAATGAGATATCCTGGCAAGTAGATGTGCTGACCAGCGCGCATGTGTGATTCTGTGGCATGCATTATGTCTATGTTATGAGCGCTGGGGAATAGTCGAAGCTCCTCAGATACTCTGACTAGTCCACGAGCGTTCCACAATCCGATATTTAGTGATTGTTGAATCATTTCGGCAATCGCGCAACGAGTACCTGAACCAGCTCTTTGAAGGTTTTGTTGAACTCTGTATTTTCCTGCATCAGCTAAAACAGAGTGTCCAGTTTGGTATTTATGTCGCGGATGAATATCTATCGCTGTGAACTTATGGCTGAGCGTAGGGTCGGAAAAAGAGCTTGCGTCAGTCTGCAGGGTTGAGCCAGTCCTTGCTGGACTCTCTTTGGGTCGAGCTATATCAGCATACGATATATTCCTTCTTAAGGATTCCGTTGGTATGAATCCACGCGAAGCGCGTGCTGGATGATTGGTTGTCGGGAGTCTAGGCCTCGGCTCGTGTTTTTTATTTTGTTCTATTCTGACTGAGCCGCTTATATCTGTCGTAGCGTGGTTACCGCTACAGTTTATGCACAAATATGTGTCGCTCACACAGTAAGAAACCAGTAGCGTGAGGCCCAATACCGTTACAACAAACAGGGTCCAGGACACAGTAGTTTTTCGAGTGCCCAAAAATTTGACATCTTTGACATTAAAGCAATTCCTTTCTAAGGGCTCGGCAGTGACTCTGTATCTCCCAGGATTTGTTATTTTTAGGAAATCTGCTACGTTTTCTCCCTGCTTTAGGTTAACATAAAACAAGTTTTTCCTATTTTTAAAATTTATTGTGGCTTATCAACGTTACCAATCTGTCTTTTTGGGGCAGTATAAGTTAAGGAAGGTTATGCTCGAAGCCGTCGTCAGTAAATCCCTGTTCAATCTGTGATTTCGGTACCTTTGAATGGATTCCTTTGCGAACTACTCTGAAAGCCTTGTCTTCTTTTAGCTTATGGTGCCAAAATTGGCAGTTAAACGATGTCAGTGTTTTTACAGCTACCTTAAAAGCGTCAGAGTTGGACGCATATATTCTGGAAACACCAAATTTGGAAGTGCGAATGTTGTAGTTTGAGGAGCCAATGGTATGATCAAGAAACTTTTGCAATAAGACTGGATTGCTTTCACAGGTATCTTGTTGGATTTTTGGATTTTTGGTCACCACCAGGAGAAATTGTATCCCCATTGATAGAGTTAACATCCTCCAGGTCCTGTTCCATTTGTTCTGCTTCAGCAGCCAGAATCGTGAATCGATTTTTACCCAATGCGTTTGTGGAGGAAGAATCGGCCGGCTTGTTGATCGCCGTTGTGGTCTGCAATTTAGTTTAACGGATCGGGAGCGGAGTGAGGACTGGTGAAGAGTGCTGAGCCAAAAGTGCTGAAGAGTGCTGAGACATTCACAGAAAATGTTTCTATACTTTTAAATGTGAATATCACCATTTTGGTATCTAATTCTAGAACTGAATACCATTTTGGAGTCAGGGCTTTCAAAAAATATAATTTTACAAAATAAAAAAAAGGAAAGGATGCCACAGGATTATACAAAAGATCCTAAACAGCCTTGTTGTAAATATTGTTGCGCAGTTTTCCTTGACATCAAGCAGGCATTTCACAGGGTCTGGCATCCAGGACTACTAATGAAAATAAAAAGGAGCGTACCCCATGAGCATTACGTCTTCCTCAAGTCATACCTGAACGACAGGTCATTTGGGGTCAGATGTGGAGACGCAAGGTCAGATTATAGGCCTATTAAGGCAGGTGTCCCGCAGGGTAGTGCCCTTGGTCCAATTCTCTACACACTATACACAGCAGATATGCCTGTTATAGATGAAGGAGGTTTGCTAGCTGTAACATATGCACACGATACAGCTTTTCTAGCTTCGGCAAGCTTGTCACAGGATGCCTCTGACTGTATATAGCGTCAGCTCGATGCCCTTGACCCTTGGCTTCAAAGATGGAACATTACGATTAATCATGATAAGTCCGCCCAAACTACATTTACCTTGAAGAGAGGCGACTGTCCACAGATTAGCATTGGAGGCACTGCCATACCACCTAACTCAACCCCTAAATATTTGGGAATGACGTTAGATAGGCGTCTAACATGGAGGACCCATCTACTGCGCAAACGAAAGCAAGTACAAGAAAAGCTGCAGCGGCTTTACTGGTCGATTGAACTTAAGTCAACCCTGAAGCTTCGGGTAAAACTACTAATATATAAGTCAATAGTGAAGCCAGTTTGGACGCATGGTATCCAACTGTGTGGGCATCCCTACAGTCAGCGCTGAAGTTAGAAGATTCGCCGCTAAATACAAGGACAGACTAAGACGACATCCCAACACTTGTGCCACCAATTTGCTGGACAGCAGCACCATCATCAGAAGACTCAAGAGAAAGCATACACTGGATTTACTAAATTAACTTTTTAGATTCATAGCTTGTATTTATCAAACTCCTATTGAACCTTGACAATTAAAAAAATTGACTAAGAAAATTAAATTATTGTCCTTAACTGAGGACAGATTGTAAATAAAACTTTCAAATGTTGCAAAAAAAATAAAAAAAAAGGAAAGAATTCAAAAAAAAATTTAAGTCTTTAAATTGGAAGAGGTTACTACTATTTTATGTGGTTAAGTATATTAATAGTGATTTTATCCTACGAGTTAAATATAAAACAAATGGTAAATATTGTTTAATAATATAAATAAATATCGGCTTAAAGTTTTTGGAAAATTGTGGTTCTAGGCTATGTATAAAACCTGACTTAGAATTCTTTTTCATTCCTGATTCAGCCATCTTTTTCGAGCCACATTCAGACATCTTTTTCAGTTCAGATAAAGCTTTCTATTTGTGGCCTGTTTTATTCACTTCTGAATTCTTGCCAGTCTAAATCAGGGTGCATTTCTAAAAAAAAAAAAAAAAAAATTTCCACAAAAAAAATAAAATAATCACTCCTGCATTCGTATTCGTAATCAGTGCTGAATTCCTTGTGATTCAGGCCTTACAGTGAAATTCCGGGTCGAGAGGACGATTATATATACCAGTGCATGTCGTAATGTTGTGCCAAAAATAGCTCTCACCTAAAACTTGAAATCTCTAACTCTAAAAACACCAAAGTTATACCGTTTCCGATCAATCAGTTATATGGCAGCTATAGAATATAGTCAGCCGATCCCGGTCGTTCCAACTTATATACTGCGTGTAAAGGAAAGAAGGGTGTGTGCAAACTTTCAAGACGATAGCTTTAAAACTGAGAGACTAGTTTGCGTAGAAACAGACAGACGGACAGACGGACATGCTCATATCAACTCAGGAGGTGATCCTGATCAAGAATATATATACTTTATAGGGTCGGAGATGTCTCCAAAATTATAATACCCTCTGCAAGGATATAAAAAAAAACCACACCTACTTTTCTAAAAGAAGACTTTGGCTTTATAAAACACTAAAAAAGAACCAAATTGAAATATCTTGCTTAGTTCTACAGTAAGCATGTTATTTTTAAATAGGACGCGGTGCCACGCCCACAATTTTTTCAAATCTGAGTTCTTTTGGCCATATAAACTCAAATCAAAATTCACAATCTAAATATCTTGCTTGGTTTTTGAGTTAGAGTGTGTTTCTTAATAAGTGGGCGGTGCCACGCCCAATCTTAAATCTTAAATCTATTGACCATGTGAACTCAAATCAAAAATCACAACTTAAATATCTTGTTTCGTTCTTGAGATATTATTTTTTGCCAGAAAAAGTGGTCATATTTCCTATAGTGGTATGTATGAACACTGGCCTTTGCAGTTTCACTTATCCATTGTAAGAGATATATCAAAAGTTCCGTTTCTCTTACCAAATGTAAGCGATATTTAAAAAGTTTCTCCATTTCAAGGGCTACTAATACACTTTCAAAACTAATACAAATATCATCGTTAGAGCCAATTTCGAATACAATAATTTCTCTTATTTTAAAAGAAGTAAAGGATGTTTCGATAGTTTTATTGGTTGGAAAGCTATTTAACGTAAGCATATAATAGTTAAAACAAGAGAGAAAAACATACTTTTGGTGGGGTTGAATTTTATATACCATTGCAGATGAGATCCGATATGTATTACACATTTCGCATGTATAAATGTAAAATTATTCATCTCCTCCTTTGACCATTTTGTGTCAAGACACCTGCAAATCGACTTTCCTCATGGTGTTTAACTTTACTCATGGTGTTCCAACAATCTCCTCGTCCTG